ACTTATTCATGTACACATGCTGATTTATTTACATCAGTGTGAGGCTGCGGTTCACTTTTGATATAGCTTGTGTGCATGCTACAGAAGTATTAGCTAGTTTCCAAACTGAAAACCAAAATGACACTGTAGACAACCTTCTGTTTTCCTAGACTTTACATTCAATAAAGAGAGGATCCAGTTGTGTTAGTCTCTCCAGTTTTCTGCTTAATTAACATTAAAGGGACAGTGCACTTTAAAAAAACAAACAAAAAAAACCCCATTTTTATCAGTCTACATTGTTTTGGTGTGATCTGAGTGTTGGAGATATCAGTGGTAAAGATGTCTGCTTTCTCTTGAATATAATGCAACTAGATGGGACTCAGCTTGTTGTGCATTTTAACAGCAATGACTCTTTACGATATCATGACCTGGTTACTTATGAGAAGTTTCATAAAAGAACTATTTATTTTCTATCAAACTTAACCAGCCAATTGAATCACAGCACTGAATGAAGTGTGCATCTACTGCTAGCTCACCTAGCACCACAGCGCTAGCTAATGTTAGCTCAGAGGACCATTGATGTTCACATCTCCAGCTGTCACAGACACGAGCCTCCTGCCTATGAGCGCATGTCTGATTCCCTCTGCATGGGTATACAGTTGTCGGGTGTAGTTTGTTAGAGAGAAAATAGTTCCTACAGGAAACTGCTCACAACAAGGTCTGCAGATTATCTTGAGTATCCTGGTCATAATTTCTATAAAAGAGACATTGCTGTTGAGTTTTTCAAATGTATTCATTTGGTGCTCTGTGCACCACAAGTCGAGTGACATCTAGTTCTACTACATTGAAGAGAAGGCAGATGTCTCTACGGACAATATCTCTAACACTCAGCAACTCAGACCAGAACAATCTGGATTGATAAATAGCACTACAGGTAAGAGGAAAAATAATGTAGTTTTGTTTTGGGGATAAACTGTCCCTTGAAACTTGTTAGAGTCCACGTTTCTCAAACTTCAACAATGGGCATGATGAGTAGGCTTACAATATTATCATGACCAACAGTCATAATGGACAAAAAATATGTGAATGACATCCAGCTAAACAAATACATATAGTTAAGTGGTTATCAGGAAACAGCAGGCTAAGAGAAAAAAAAACCTGAAAGATCAAGGGTTTTCAGTATCATAAAAGTATGACAGCATTGACAGCTCTATAGGAGACACAGATTTTAAAGCAGTATGTCAGTGAAAGGAAAAGGGCACCCTGGCACTGAAGATTGCATGTTAACAGAGCAGCCTCCTGCGTATCCACTTTGTGTTGACGGGAAAATGATAGATTTCATTTGGTTTACGCAGAGCCTTTAATTTAAGCTTTGAGTAATGACTTGGCTTTTGCCCTCTTACTCATATCATCTGAGTTCTGTTGTGTATATACTGGCCCCTGATCCAAGGTGCTCGGTTTGGGTCACAGCATTCATCTCATAACCTGAGTCTGCTATGACACTCAAGTTGAGTGTATCATCAACAGGCTGTCCAACTCAGCCAGCTCCGCCCATATTTCCAGTCCACGGACAAAAAATACACACACGAATTCACCCCTGTGTGCGTGTGTGTGTGTAATTGCTCAGAATACCGCAGGGTTTAGGTTTCAGCTCCATAACCAGTCAGAGGCGGGCCTTGGAGCCGACAAACAGCACTCGTCCAGTTTCAGCTCTGTTTCATCAGGCAGCGGGAGTGTTGTCCTGCCTCGGGCAATATAAGAGTGATGCAATGAGTTCTCATGACAGGTTGGGTGGGGATTTTAAAAAATAACACTGTTTAGAAACATTGTTGACATGCATTAATTCTAACGTGAAAAAGTTCAAAAGAGCTCTGACAAATGCATTTCTTGATATAAAAGTTGAGTATGTTACAACGCTTGAACCTTCTGGCGTTTGATGAAAAGTACATTGGGGTGATCATAGTTTAGTGTTTTTGATGTTTTTGTTACATCACCGTATCATTTGAGAGCCATCAAATTTTAAACATAGAGATTTTATGTACAATATAAAACATTCTAGTAATACTAAACTCTGATTGTAGACAAATTTCTCAACTTTGCTTTACTTCACCTTGTTCTTATGTGTTATATGATCTGGGGAATAGACATTTAGGGCAGTTAGCAGAAACAGCAACATAGACCAGCATTTCTAAAGCAGCAAAACAAGGATAACTGCAGAGACGATAAAAAAGAAGTAATAACAGTTTAAGATTTATTGGGAGAACATTAGCGGCATACGCCTAAAGATCAAAATGTGAGATTTGACCTGGGATTTGGTGTGGTCAGTTTAATATGATGAATGACTTCAAAGCTGCAAAACATATTGTGAACGAGATCTTTTGGCAAAATGGATGAATGGGCGTTAGAACACTAAAGCAGGATGGAAATAACTCTGGCTCCATTTGAATGTGGTGCTAATTTGAACAAACAAGGAATGGAATAAGGCTCATGTGAGAATTTCATCAGAGGCAACTTAAGGTTTCTTTATGTTATCCAGTGTGTTTTATTTCAAAGTCTTGTGTTTTGCCTTCATGTGTGTTGGAAAAGCTTCACTAAGAGCATTAACAGGACAGAAGGGAATGTGTCAAGGTTTTTGTTCATTGTTGTTCATGGCTGCTTTTTGTAGAAATGAGGGCATCTGTAAAGCCATTACTTCAAATAACTTCTGGTATTGTGATTTTGTTACATCAAATATGCCTATCAAGTTCTAAATAACACTTAATGGCTATCATTAAATCAAATATTGTTAATTTGAAATACATTTGCTTAGGACTGAGACAATACTGGGACTCAACTGGGCTGTTTGAGGCCCACATCTGTCCACTTATCCTATTGCCCCTGGGACAAAAGGGAGTTTGAGTTGCAGAGTTTATACAAAGTCTTAGCTTGAGGTTACAGGGTAGTGACTTTAGATGTATTTAGATTTTGGAGGTCTGGGATGCCAGAAAATACAATTGAGCCTTCTGCAGGTGCCTAAATCAACAAAATATCTGATCTGGCCACCTAACTTCCAAACTCTCACGGTAAACCACTGGTCATGTCATGTGCTTTGCAAAATGTCACGTCACCACCTGCTTGTTAGACATATTGAATTTAAAACACTGGTTGTCAATTCAACATCATACAGCTCTAAATACATCTATGGATTAACCGCACATAATGACTATCATCATATGCTTCATTTTCATACCATTATTCTGAGCTGGTAAAGATGTGACAAAGGCGACAATTTGTTCACATAAGTACTTTAATCAGGCACTTTTTGCTCAAAAAGACTTCCCCGGATGAGCCTGGAATATGTGTGAACATTTGGAGGAATTTCTCTTCTATGGCACCATCATATGCCCAGTTTGGACAAACATGAAACGTAAGTGGCAGGTAACACTGTTCAGTACAAAACAAAACAAACAACAAGGTACCTTCTATCAAATAGGTAGTGTTCATGTATATTTGGCCAAGGTCAGAATAGCATCCTTGTAAATAATTTACCAAGCTTCTCTGTTTCTTAAGTCTACCTATATAATAAATAAAAATACTGCAGAACGTTAAATTAATTAAGATAATGTTAACAAGGGTCTAAAACTGGGGATTAAGCAAACAAAATACTTATATAACAATTTGAAGGAGAGAGGAATCTACATTTAGGCCATAGCAGGGCTCTACTGCTCTAGTTATTAATGCAAATGTATACATTATTTCATTTTGTAAAGGCTGCCAAAAACACAATTATGATCATGAATGTATTTATGGCATAGGCATCTGTGTTAAAGTATTTTGTGAAATATGGCTGAACATGTACCTGACATGAATTTGCTCTCATTAACTAGGAAACATTCTCTGGTGGTGTTTGAACATTCATAAAAATACATTTTTACTTCCATCACACCGTATGTAACATTTGTTAGTATCACTTTTAATCCATATACTATTCTTTATAGTGCTAGGGTACAAATGTGGTCCAAAAGAACATTCATTACAGCTTCTCAGTAAATCTATACAAAAAATCAGGACAAAAATGAGAAAAACCTACTGCAAATTTCAGTGTCAGGATGGCACTGATTTAGAGCTTAAAGGATATCTTAAAAGTGCTTTTTTTCGCCACTGACCGGTTCAGATCGCCAGTGCTATCTCTGTAAATAGCATACTAAGCATTTCCCTTACCCTTCACTTCCTCTGGGCTGTGTGTGAGACGTCATCTCGCGAGAGCTTTGCTTGTTGCCGGAAGAAAACAGAGGAGCCATGCTGAGCGCCGCTCAGAGTGGCGCTGGTTGTCCCAGAGTACAGTTGAGAGTTTTACTGCATTGGTATCATGGCTGCATATTTACCCCATTTTGAGAATGAAGATGAGCCCTTTTATTACGATGGCCGCCCATACTTATTTGAGCCCGAGTATACGGACGAGGAGCTCCTACAAATTGAAGAGCAGACGAGGACAGAGAGAAAGGGCCAACGAGCAGACGAGGGTGAAGCAGCGGCTGCACGAACGCGAATCTCTGAGGACTGGTGGTGCTCCTGTGGTTGCTGTGACTCCATGCCCACAGAGGAAGAATGTCTGTGTTGCAACGAGTGGGACCTGTTGCCCAATATTCATGGTCTCGATGTGTCCTGGGATGATACAGAAACTACCAAACGCTGTGAAACTACGTTAGAGGATTTCCCCCCTCTGATCAACAGGGCAGTGCTGGATACCTTTTTTCATGTGCCCAAAATAAATTGGAGGCAGCCAAAACCACAGGGACCAAATGGTCAACTATCCATCAAGTAAGTATAACTAATATGTCTTTATGCATGTAATACAGATACCTAGAATTGTCTCCGAGATGCACATTTACTGCAAGCAAAGCTCTCGCGAGATGATGTCACACACAGCCCAGAGGAAGTGAAGGGTAAGGGAAATGCTTAGTATTTTACAGAGATAGCCCTGGCGTTCTGAACCGGTCAGTGGCGAAAAAAAGCACTTTTAATGCGCAAACTTATACGGGACGCATTTGCCCCCATATCTACCGTTTTAGCTCATTTCGCGACTGCAGGCTAAAGTTATCCTTTAAGTAATATTTCTCTGATATTTTACTGAGGAACAATAGAAGAGTAGAAAAATGACCAGAACCTGCTTGCATTCTCTGACATGATTAGGCTGCTGATGGAGCAAACAGTTTTACACTTACCACGTAGCTGCTCAACGTTCTCCCTCACATAGTATTTTCACAATGCAAAATGAAAGCAGTAAGGCTCATTGTGAGAAATTAAAGCCAGGGCACCTGAAGGACAGGATCATTGGATGTCAGGTTTCATTTTCTTTTACAGAAAATGAAGGGACGTATGTTGAGGACTAAGACAACTTTTCAGCATTTCACATTCATGATAACCTTTTGATGTGAGATCAAACACTGGAACCGTAGAAAATCCGATCACACAATAGTCTATTCTGACTGATGTTTCATTTGTTCAAGCAAGGACATCTCTTTCTCTATAAATATTTACAATAGCCAGTTACAAATAACCCAATTCATAAAGCATTGATGAAGAGCTTCATTTAAAACCACAAGGTTAAGAATCACGAGAGATAAAACCAACTTACAGTACAAACAAGTATACAGTACAAACTACAAATATACAAATATAGAAATATATTCTGAGGTTTTAGCAACCTTTTGACACATTAATGCCATTTCTTGTCAGAAACCACATGTAAATATAAAAATATAGACAATGCTTTTGTACAAAATATTGACATCATGTATGAATCTCCATTCAAATGTGCAAATTAACACTGATCAACAGAAGAATGAGGAGTTTCTTTCACACAAGCATAAACAAAAAAAAGGTTTAGTCCATTTTGGCCTGTTAGTCATGTAGTTTAATTTTTCTTCAGTAAGCACCACAACTTCAGTTATTTGGACTTCTTAGTGTGACCATGTGTACTCTTGAGAAAGAGAATAGCATTTACTCATTTCAGGTTGCAGCCCCTGTGGTCATACAGTAGAACAAGTCTGGGACAGCAATGACTCAGTCTTTATTCACCCTTAAAAAATGTGTCTTTAGAATTTAAATCCTCAGCTCTGCCTCCTCACTGTGCTCTAAATTGTGTTCAGTTGTGCTGATCATCGATGCGGAGGGACCCTGTGAGACACTGAAGGGTGTGATTGCAGGAGAACGTGCTGCCAGTGGTGAGAGAGATGGGGAGAAACTTGGAGACATGGCGACGGAGGAGATGGATCCCTCTTTGCTGAGAGGGGATCTTCGCAAAGAAGCCAAGTGGGGGAAAGTCCTCCCCACGGCAGGCTTTGGAGGTACAGTTTTGGCCCCAGGGTGGGCCACAGAGGTTATGAGAGGTGGGGGGTCGATTCTTGACTCTGCCTTTGCTTTGTGATGAAACGACCTGCGAGGATGAGGAGGAGCTGTTTCATCTTTTAAACGTGCTATTTCAGTAAAAACATTAGCTAAAGGTTGGAACTGGGGACACCAGTTTAGCAGGTAGTCCCAGTTATAGCTGCCCCTCAGCTCCTCATCACTGGCCACGATGGCTGTCAAGGAGCCATCGACTGCAGGCTTTCCATCCTCTGGGAAAGTATAATCTTTAGGGTGGGAGATACTAAGTCCCCGTCCCACACCCACATACCCACCCCCTTCATCCCTGTAGACTGGCACCTGGCCAGCTAATAAAGTACTATTCAGACTGCCCAGTTTCTTCCCTTTGAACCAATCTATTGAAGGCTCACAGGACACATCTGATAGCTGATCTGCATCCTGCTGGATTCCAGAATCTGGACCTCGGGCAGAGATGCGCTCCTGCATGGAGGATGAGATACTTGACACTCTGGGGTATTCATTTATCATTCTGATCTCATCATCCTCTGCTGCTTCTGCCTCCGCAGAGCCACGTCCACTGGAGTGGGAAGGATCCAAGGATCCTCCACGAGTGTATGGACCCCCACTGCTGCCACTCTGATCAGCTGTGTATCCAGGAAGAGCCTGATGGTAAATCATTTCACTTGCTGCTATCTTTGTTTCGTCAAACTTGTGCAGCATGGTACCTGATGCCGGTGTCCGTCCATGTGCATTTCGGTCCCTCTTCTGCCGTCTTAATTTAACAAGAAAGAGTGCCACAGCAATTATTATCAGTATGACTATAGTCCCAAGTGAAACTGCAATGACGCTGATAAGAAGCATATTCATGTCATTAGTGAGACCAAAAGATGTACGGGTCACATCTACAGTAACTTTGGCCACTGCTACACGGGACATCTCCAGAGGGCTGTGAGCAGTCACGTCCAGTGTCATTAGACGCAACTCTCTTTTAGAGCGACTCACATGTCTACTGTAGCTGTCCATCTTTAAGAAAATCGCTCCTGTTGATTTATTGACTTCAAAATAAGGCGAACTGTCTGCTAGGGAGTAGAGGACAATGCCATCCACGCCTCCGTCCTCATCTCTGGCTTGGACTTTGCCAATGATCTGACCTTTCTTTGCTCCCTCAGGCACTTCGAATGAGAACTCTGAGGAGGTGAAAACAGGATCATATTCATCCTCCCCTGTAACATAAACCTGCACTGTTACAGTAGCAGAATAGTTGCCAGCATCCATGGCAACAGCCACAAAATGGAAGGAGTTAACCCTCTCAAAGTCAAAAGTAGAGCGAGTCCGTACTTCTCCTGAAGTTTGGTTCATGAAGAAGGCCTCTCTTACCTCTTTAGAGTTATCTAACATGAAGTACCTCAATTGTCCAAAAACCCCTCTGTCATGGTCAATTGCATGCAGCATGGTGACTAAGGCATTCTGGGGTTGGTTTTCCCTGATGCTCGCAGTTATGAGTTTGAGGGGAAAGAAGGGCCGGTTATCGTTGATGTCCTTCACCTCAATACTAACTGGGGCCAAAGCGTAGTGCCCTAGACCATCAGTAGCCTGGACAACAATCATATGGGACCACTGTCTCTCACTGTGTAGAGGTCTCTGCAGCCTCAAGGCTCCAGTCCACCGGTCCACTTGGAAAAGGTCTGTCTCGTCCCCTGAGCTTATGGAGTATTGCACTTCTCCATTGGGAGCAGAGTCTGGATCTGTGGCAGATAGATGCAAGATTTCTGTCCCTGCTGCTGCACCCTCACTCAGTACTACACTGTACTCTGCTCTGCTGAAAGCTGGAGGGTTGTCATTGGCATCTGTAACACTGATGAGGATGGGCACACTAGAGCTACGCTGAGGGATTCCACGATCCGATACCACAACAGTCAGGTTATAACTTGGCACTGATTCAAAGTCCAGCTCCTCCACCAGGATCAGGCTGCCAACTGTCTGGAAACCCTGTCCCTCCAAGAATCGCACGCTGCTCTCAATCTGGAAGGCATTACCTGAGTTGCCACTGGCAATGGCAAAATCAAAACCACAGTTGTCCCGAGACAGGTCTCCATCCACAGCTTCTAAGGTCAGAACAGTTGATCCAGGAAGCCCATCTTCACTGACAGTGGCTCTGTACTCTGACTGGTGGAAGATGGGGGCGTTGTCATTGACATCAGACACTTGTACCTGCACAGTGGCAACTGATGAAAGGGATGGAGTGCCCTGATCCCGCACCTCAATTATCACCAGGATGGAGGGGTTCTTAAAGTCAAACTCTGTTTTTTGGTTGACAAACAGAGTACCTGTAAGATTAAAAAGGATGTGGTCAAAAAATCAGCAGCTTTATTTAAATTGTCTCTTCAGAGCTCATCATATTAATTATCAAAACTGTTCATTACACAGGGTAGTTTGCTATAAAAATAACAATGAATGACTCAAATAAATAATTGAGCTATAATTACATTTTGTAAAGACAGTAGCAGGTTTAAAGGGAACATTATTTGAGGCAAAGGAATTGCATTTTACAATAGGAGACAGAATAGCTTGGGGCAAAAAGAGGCCTCTTTTATAATACGCTTATTTTTAGATGCTATCTCAAGCAAAACATCGGAGGCAAATAACATTAAATCTGGCTTTCAATGATTTTAATGAACAAAATGATTAAATATTTTGCAATGTCTGTGGCAAATATGTCCAAACCTCAAATGAGTATCCAAGGAGAGCCATAGGGGATCATGTTTTTATGAAGGGTAATTAAGTGGAACTCTGGTTAGAAAACAACCATAAATGTGCACACAGTAACCTTACCATTGCTTGGGTCAATGTAGAAGACGCCTCTAGTTGATGACATTACTCTGTAGGTAATCTTCCCGTTGTCCCCAGAGTCACGGTCAGTGGCTGTTACTGTGATGACTGCACTGCCTGCTGGGAGGTGCTCTGATACAGTCACCTGATGAGAAACACAGTACAAATATAGGTATATCCATATAAATACTTAATATGCTAAAACTCAAAAAGGTGTTGGTAGACGTAGGTGTTAAGACAGGTGTGTGAAGGTAGCTGCACCTGATACAAGTCTTGTGTAAAGGTGGGGGCATTATCGTTCACATCATCCACCAGCACAGTAATGTTGGCCTCGCTTTGATGCTTGGAGTCGGATGAGCGGACGGTCAGAGTGTACCACGTCCTTTCCTCATAGTCCAGAGGGCCAGTCAGAGACACCCCTCCTCCATAACGATGAATCCCGAACATGCCTTGGCTGTTTGTATCCAGGTGTAGTGTGTAGGAGAGGGCTGGCCCTGAGTCTACGTCATTTCCTGTTACTTGGGTGATGACTGTGCCGATCAAAGTATCTATATAATAATAAGGTGGAGAGGCAGAAGAAAAAAATAGGTTGCAGCTGAAAGGAAGCACAAAGGCTTTCAGTAAAAAAAAAATCTTTATTAAGAAATATCCTGTTCTGGAAAGCCTTGATCTAACAGACAGGAAATGAACAGAGGAACTTGGCAATAGTTTGTTTCGTAATAGGGTCAGACTTTTCTTACTGAGCCCCACTGAGTGAGCTGCCAGGGAGTGTGATGGGAGGCTTTATGATAAGATCACTGCACTAACTTCCACTGTGAAGCTGACTTACCCTCAGGCACTCGGATCTCCTGATGCACAGGAATCATGGGACTGTTGTCATTGAGGTCGATGATGATCACAGTGAGGGTGGCAGAGCCAGCTAGTCGTGGGGTTCCTCGGTCTGTTGCTGTAACAACAAGCCTGGTGCCACATAATGAATGTCAGTGTCTGAACTTTTAACTTTTATGAACTTGGTTGTGTAATGTTTCACCCCCCACCAAGATCAGCCTCTTTTTGCTTCAGACTGAGCATTGTTGCAAAAGATTTTTTTTTAATATGTTTTTTTTTTTTTTTTTTTTTACAGTAAATAGAGCCCACTTGTTTTGTTGTTGTACAAATCTGGAATTCATCAGCTCTTATTTTCAACATTAAAAAGTGACTGCAAATCAAATTAAAAAATCAATAAAACAAAACTTCTTCACAATGTGATTTTAAAATACCATCTGCCAGGCAAACATGATTTCTTTATAGCTTTGATAACTTTTTATAACTTTGCTGCATGACCATCAGCTTATTTGCATTTTCTCCCAAATCCTCTCTTCTCTCTCCATAATTGAAAACATTTTCTGAGCAGCCCTTGTTAAAAGATGACCAAATGCAGTAATGTAAACTGATCTACGCCTTTAAAAAAAAAAAAAGACATGGCTATTTTTAATGGAAATGTGCACAAAAATAGCTTTATCATTAAAACAATAATGTTATAACAAAGTTATTTGAGAAGGGATGGACATTATCATAGTAACAAACATTAAACAAGTGTGCGTCAAGGGCAGAGATGAGCTGAGGGGAATTACATGGCAGGATGTGAAAACACACAAAGAGAAAAAAAGAGCAAAACTCACTTTGTCTGTGTCCAGATCTCTCTGTCCATTATGGCTGCAGTGGTGATGCTGCCAGTCAGCGGGTCTATCTTAAACAAACCACTCATGGATGATGACCTGATAGAGTAGGTCACTTGACCATTTTGACCCTGGTCCAGATCATCTGCAGCCACCTGAGGAAATGACCAACCCATTTTGGAAAGGAAAATACAGAAATATTTGCAACAGCTGTTTTAGTGTAACATGAACTAGTGAGCAATATTGGACTTGGAAGTCAAGAGTTAATAAAAAATGGGCTATATGGACCTGGCTTCATGGCACAAATGTTTCTATAGTATATTCAGTTGGGACAATGAGAACACATGCAACTGAACAGAGTAATTTCTCTACACCGCTGAAACTATCCAGATTTCTAAAGCATGAGTTCTTTTTTTTTCTACAACTTCACACTTTAAAAACAGCCAACCATAATAAATATGTGAGGGACAGGCTACTGCACCTGAATAATGGGAAAATCGTAGCCTTGTGCCTCCCTAATGTAGGCTACATAGTTCTGGAGTTGGAAGCGTGGCAAGTTGTCATTGACGTCCTGCAGGATTAAGTTGACAGCCATGTAGGAGCTGGAGGATGCCGTCTCAGCTTTCACCACAAGGCGGAGTTTCGGAGTCTCCTCAAAGTCTAGTTCTTCAGATTTCTGGACCCATATTTCACCTAGATCACAAAAACAACATTGAGTCACACTGTGGATTTGGAAAACATTGTTTTAGAGAACATGCTGCCATTTCTGCACTTACCCGTAATGGGGTTTATTCCAAAGGATTGCATTCTGTTTCCACTGAAAATACTGTAGCTGATACCAGTTTGAGAGCCATCGGGGTACTGGGCCTGAGTCTGTGTTACTACAGTGCCTATAGGATGAAAAACACATTTGGTTGAAACCATTTACTTCTACTTATTTCAACTATAGATACACAAATATCCAAATAAAAGATTTAATATTAATAAACCTTTAGCAGCATTCTCCTGAAGACTGACATCTCGAGCTGCGCGAGAGAAGCGAATCCCCCTGTAGCTCTGTTCCCTAATATAAATGATAACCACCCCAAGGGAAGACTGAGCTGGGTTGCCCTGGTCCATGGCCTGAACTATCAAAGTCCTCTGGCTTTGGGTCAGAGTCTGCAGCTTCTCTGTGGCCTGGATATCTCCTGTCAGCGAGTTGATGGTGAAGCCCCTCACGGGGTTGGCGAAACGATAAAACACAGAGCCATTAGCCCCAAAGTCTTTGTCCTCTGCCCTCATGGTAGCCAGCACTCGGCGGCTGGACACGCTGCTGGCAGAGATGTTCACAATAAGTGGGTCCTGAATGAAGAAGGGTGCATTGTCGTTCACATCCTGAATGTAGACAGTCACCTGAGCAGTGGAGTTACGTGGGTTTGCAGGGGAGGAGTCAGTGGCACAGACCTCAAAGGTGTAAGAGGCAGTTCTCTCTCTGTCTAGGGGTGCTGCTGTGATGATGCGGCCTGTGTTCTGGTCTATGATAAACATGCTCTGGGTGCCATGGCTCAGAAAGTACAGCACCTGGCTGTTAGGACCCTGGTCCAGATCAATGGCTTTCACCTCCAGGACCAGTGAGCCAATGGGAACATCTTCCGAAACATCCGCAGTGTAGGTACTACTCTGAAACTGGGGGCTGTGATCGTTGATGTCCAGAATGGTCACCTCCACCGTAGCGGTGCCGCTGAGGGGAGGATGGCCCTGGTCCTGAGCTGTGACCGTTATTGTGTACCCAGCCCTCTTCTCCCGATCCAGAGGCCTTGAGGTGGACAACACACCTGACTTTTTGTCCAGGCGGAAGTCTCCTGATGGATCTCCAGCTGCAAGAAAAGCAAGGGCAAATTGTTATAAACAGTCATCAAAGTTATTAAAATGAACAAAATGCAAAATCATGGGAGCTGAATAGAACTGAAACATAACAAATTGCCAAATCACCTGTAATTTTGTAGTTTAATTCCCCACTATCTCCTGCATCCTGGTCAGTGGCTCTCAGGGTAAACAGAGGTAATGCCTCCAGGTTTTCAGGCACCTCTATGCTGTAGTACAGACGGCCAAAGAAAGGAGCATTGTCATTCTCATCAAGCAGTCTGATCCTCACTGTGGCTTTGGCATAGTTGGGGGGAAGGCCTTCATCTTTTGCATAAACTGTCAAAACATAAAAAAACCCACAAGACAAAATTAATTGTGATCTTAAAGAGATGGTTCACAAAGTAATGCCTAATATTATGTATGTAAGAGCAGTGGTCTTAGGGCAGGTTTCATCTACGATGGTGTAGGACAGTCAGAGGGCAGTACCTGTCACTGTGTAGTACTCCTGGAGCTCCCTGTCCAGCGATTTAGTGGTTGTTATTACACCTGTCACTGGGTTGATGCTGAAACCCTTCTCTGAGATACCACCATATGTCACTTGCCCATTGGTTCCTACACAGAAATACACAGTGACTATCCTTTAATTTAAAAATGGATCGCAAAAAATTTAAACCAATAACAAATGTCACCAAAGCTCACAAAGTTAATTCCTATGACCTGGAAATATTTGACAAAAAAACAACAGTATTTAGAGGGTATTTGGATTTCACTTGTTAATAGCTTGTGTATGTATTTGTTTGTTTGTCATTAGTTTTGCTGTCTAAGCGTTTGGCAGTGATGACCCTCCCTCAGGTGTCTGGATGCCAGATTGCGTGCTAACAGAAAGAAGTCTGGCAACCTCACCTGTTTACTTCACTAATTGCTTTTGGAAAGAAAGTTTATAATCCTTCTGTTTTATGTGCTTCTGACTAAGTCTGAGGGAATGCGCCCTCTCTGTAGCCCAACCCCCGCCCTACTGAGTCCACAATTAAAAACAACTGTTAATGTCTGTAATGTGGACACATACTCAGCACATGAAGGCTGAGAGGAATTACAGGCCTTTTTTATTGTTTTAAGTGCTGAAGCAGCACAATTTGTATCTATTTTTAAAAAATCCACACACAAGTACATACAGCATGATTTAAGTAATTTGGAGTTAAAAAGCTGTCTACGTGTCTTGGTTAAAATGAGGCTCAATTTGGTTGAAAAGATGTTTAGGTTACATGTAACTACATATAATCAGCATTTCCATGATTATATTTCAACATGTAGTTAGAACCTTTTTCACATCAAAATATAGTTACTCAAATAATGCTGAAACTATGGTTATGTGTAACTTAGATGTCTGAAACATTAATTTTCCCACCAGCCAGTTTTAACCTAGTAGTCCCTGTGAACGCATGGTTGCTTAAAAATTAGAATTGCCTGCACCAAAGCTGCAGTAACTAAGTCAGTGCACACTGTATGTCTCACCTTGGTCCAGATCAGAGGCAGACACTGTCAACACAGTAGTTCCTGGAGGCTGGTTCTCAGAGATCTGGGCTTTGTACAGGCTCTCCTCAAACCGGGGCACCTCATCATTAACATCAATCACGTGAACACACAGCAGCTGGCTGGACGAGTGCTGGGGTATCCCATGATCCTCAGCAGTTATTGTGAGGTTAAAGACGTCCTGCTCCTCACGGTCCAGAGGTTTGAAAATAGACAGAGAGCCTGCAGAGAGATGAATCAGAGGTGAAATTTGAGGAGAGATTTCCTGTATGTGTGTGCATGTGTGTCTGTGTGTGGGTGTACTTTATTACAGCCTGTTTTGCAGAGGCACTTACACACGACAACTACTTTATAAAAGCGTGCTATCAAAGGCAGTAAAACATGCCACTGTCCATGGTTGTGTGTAGTCAATGGATTTAAAGCAAGTGTGAAAAGTTGCCGTGTGAGGGCCAAATCATAGTTAATCTCCTCCACACACACAGCCTTGCCTACCTGAGTGCTACCACCACCACTGCTGTAACAGCCCAACAGTCTGGCCACAGTTTACGAGATTTTCCATTGGAGAATGCCGCAGCCATCGAGAGAGAAGCAGTAAACACACGCTCTAGACACGCAACAGCCAGGCCTGCCGTGCTCCGTAGAAATTAGGGGCACCCTTGCCTTTTCATTATCCTGCCCTAAGAGGGTAGAGCTTGCATTGATTCAATTTCAATTTCATGCTTTAAAATGAGCTGCAACTGTTAAAGAAAGAGGGCCAGGGCTGTTTGGTTTTAACTTTTTTTGTGCATGTTTTTGCTTTGTATCTTGCTAGGACTGAGATAAGTTGCCCCTAAGCCTTTAATCTGGTAGGAGTTACAGGCTGGAATATTTTCACCAAATCTGACTCCTCTGTGATCCTGCCATATCCCTGGTCACTGATAACACATGGGCAGAAAAGAAGACAGTGGGAACCAGGGGAAAGTTTTTTTTTTGTTTTGGATGTTTTCAATTCCAACATCTTAAGCCTATGTGAGGTTTGTGGCGCCAACACTTTGGACTGCAGTGTGAGGGTTAGCTAAGGTTGCTCAGACAACAAACACATTTTTCTTTTCTTACATGTACAGGTCATTTATCAAAATTGGATGTGTTAATCCCTGAATGGTGCTGTCTTCTGTAAAGAAGCAATTCACTATATCACAAGGGTACTCTCCCTCTGCTCCAAAAGTGAAATTAATGACCTCCCTTCTGACAATGACTGATGAGAATGTGTCTAACTCTGTGACTTTATATATTCCTAATAATAGCTTGATAGTCCTCTCTACTGTGGAAGACTGTGAGTAAAAGTAATGAAAACAGAGTGTGCAGAAATGGTACCAGGTCTCCAGTCACTGACCCCAAAACGGGAGCAAACCAGGTGCTCTGAGGATTAACTCTGTCAGTATTCTAACAAATATCCAGTGTGCATGAGCCCACATACTGGGCTGAAGCAGAAGTGGCATGCATGACAGACGCTGAATGTTTCCATCCCCAGGCTGCTTTAGGGGGCATCCCGGTTGGCGACTTGAAGGGAAAGGAGGAGCCAATGTTGACACGTGTCTCAAACACCACAACAAAGGCCACAGGACCAAATAGCCCAAGGTCAACTTTGACTAAGTGACAGAGTCTCACGCAAGCACACAAACACATATGTGCAGGCCTACACACACACACACACACACACACACACGTGCGTACACATAAACACGCGTAACTGATCCTTTCTCTAATGGTTCCCAGAAGCCCAAGCAGGAGGTTCTTTGGTCTTTCATGGGAATAGATCCACAATAACAGATGATGGTTTGTGTGTGTGTGTGTGTGTGTGTGTAAGTGTGTGTGTGTGTGTGTGTGTGTGTGTGTGTGTGTGTTCAATATCTGGCAGGCTGCTCTGTCTGTCTGGCCTCCAACTGAGAGAAATAAGTCATGAAAGGTGAAGTAAGAGTTGTGCGGTGCTAAGACGCAAGCAGAGTATTACAAGAGTTTGTGTGTTTATGTAGGGAGAGATTTGGTAATTGGGGTGGGGTAGTGGTGTGGAAGCACATGGAAAGGTGAGCACACATGCAATGCCAAGTGAAATTTAAAGGTGGCACAAATGCAAAAAAATACCATAAAAAGATCCAAACCGATGTGAGCAGATGAAGATCCGCTTGTCTGCTTAAACTGAAAATATTTTAAAATAAGGGGTTTGCAAGACAGTAATTCTAAAGAACTGGAGTTCCCTACAGGGGCTGGAAATATAAAGACAGAAGACTAAAGAGTTGCAACTGAATAGTTGCAGTTCTATTAAAATTTAAAAGAAAAACGGGGGACAAGGAAAAACATTCTGGAGGTTGAAATGAAACATAACATTGTGTTGTATCTAAATACTATGAAGGCATTTTAGGGTGGAGGGGGAGGGGGGTAATGTATGAGGGGAAAAAAAATCTGAATTTTTGAGATTAAAGAAGTAAATTTACATGCAAAAAAATCATCACACCACAGACGCCAACGGTAAACAGGGAATACCAGCAAACGGTGAGACATTGGATGACTGTTGTTTCAATGACCAATCAAGACATCCCATTATGGTTAAAAAAAATAGTTTCAAAATGAAGGTTGTGCCAACGTCAAGGACGGGGAACATCGAAATATGACGTTATCTTTATTGGGCCTATTCAGTTAATCTGCTAAACTTTATCTACACAGTGTGCATTCAGCAGCTTTATACAATTACTTGTCAACTAAGTCTGAAAATAACAGGCCAAGGCTGACTCACACGGGACACAAACCCCGGTCTCCTAGGTGAAAGTCCTATGCTTGACCCATTGATCTACAACAACTTCCTCCCCACATGGATTCTGCCACTCTTTATACTATGTCACCTGACTTTCTGGCAGAATGCCCTGAAGGCAATCCTCTCCCATATACGCACAAAGACAGGTTGGATAAACCCCTTTGGCTCTAGAATATGCAAGTTTTTTCTCCCATAAAATGGTGAGGGGTTTTTTTCTCATAAATTAACCACTTTAATCTCAGAAATTTGTCTCAGAATATTACTCACTCCCATGGCTCCATTTCTTTTAACCCATAATGGCCCTTATACAGCGTTGTATAATGCATCTTGGAGAGGGAAATTTGCCTATCCAGAATATCATTTTCTTCTAAACACTTCTGTCAGATGTATGACTTATGCAACACTATCATCAGCCAAATCATGGTTGATTCTGCAGTACCCAAAATTAAGTTTTATAAAATGTATAAATGTATTGCAATGCTACTGCAATATGTGTGTATAAAAAAAGCAAACATTACTTGTTGTTTTTCGATAACATGCAAACTGGTATCAAGCATGTCACCTGTGCAACTAACCCATCTACAAACCAGACCTCCACGCCCTCCATTTGTGCCTTGCAACATGAAGCAAACATCACCTTCTGTATTGGCACTGGGCTGGACTTACCAGTGTTGGGGTTGAGGCTGAATGTTCCTCCAGTGTTGCCTGACTGAATGTTGTAGGTCACTCTGCCATTCTCCCCTTGGTCTGCATCTCTGGCCATGACATACAGCACCACAAAGCCCACCGGCTGGTCCTCCATCACACTGACAGCTGTTGGCGAGCTGAACACTGGTGGATTGTCGTTCTCATCGGTTACATACACCCTTGCTGTGACTGAACCCCAGCGCCTCTGGGTGGCATCAAGGGCAGAGTCTGTTGCCTTGACAACCAGTATCAGGTTGGAGGTGACTTCATGGTCCAACTCCTGAGCCAAGGAGAGAACCCCAGTGGAAGGGTTGAGGGTTAGTAGGCCAGGAGTGTTTGGCCACTGATGGAGAATGGAGTACTTCAGCTCGCTGTTGGGCCCACTGCCATCCTTATCTGTTGCCTGGAAAGTATAGACAGAGGAGCCAGCCTCCATGCTCTCAGAGATGACAATGGTGATGGGGTCCTCAGGGAACTGAGGGGCGTGGTCATTGCTGTCCTCTATGTCAATGTCCAGATGGACCAGGGTGCTGCTAGGAGGGGCCTGAGAGAGGTCATCTACTTCAATCTGCAGAGTGTAGCGTGCGTCTCGTTCATAGTCAAGAGGACGAGCCAGGTACACGTCTCCGGTCAAACGGTCCACCACAAAGGTCCCATCCCGGGCTGTGCCCCCGACCACTGTGTAGGTTACCTCCCCTTCCTCTTGACTTTCTCTGTCACGAAGGCGGACTGAGCCAACGACAGAGCCAGGCTTGGCCTCCTCCACAGAGTTGAAGGATATGGAGAATGAATTGGTCTTAGAAGTAGGTCTGTTGGTGCTGAGAACCTGTAATAAAGAACACTGTATGAGTATTTGTAGACAGAGCAATGAAAAGTTACATGCCCAATGGCAACTCAAGTTAACAATGTCAAATAATAAAGAATGGAAATATTTCATAGATTTTGGGCAAAGCAAAAACAGATTTGGTCCACTGTATGTGTTCACTGGGAACAAATGAAATCGGTTACAAGAGGTTTTTATAGACTTGAATAACACGCCTCCTAACCTTAATCACACTTAATCTGGTACTCATGTGGCTGCCAGGAAAAATAATAGATGATAAAAGTAACACAATCAGAGAGGGAAATGCTAAGATGGTTTGAATTTAGCACTGGGACATACTCCTTTACTGTGTATAGCTTTACACTTGCTTTGATGAGAAATGTCTTCAAAGACTACAGCATTATTACATCTCTCCTTTGTATGAAAAGAGCACCATAAGTAACACACATGACACACTGTTTTAATAAAACACACGCAGCTGTAAACGGGGGAGGGAGAGGGAGAGGTTGTGCTGATCAAATTTTCAGCAGCATCACTGACAGCGTTTTGCAGGCTGAAGGGGTGATCTAGATACCCAGCATCCTACAGCACAGTTCCCACAGTAAGTAGGCACTCCAAAAAATATGCCGTGTTTGTTGTGAAATCATACATGACAAGCTGTAAATTGGTTCCACATTAGATGGAAAAGGAGTGTTCCAGAAATAAATTGGTATAGTCCCATCCTATCATCGATGGATTTAGAAAATCAGTCTGAAAAGATGATTAAAGGAAATTATAGAAATGCGTCAGCGGGCAAGAACAACACTGCACTGTTTAATCCAATTAACTAATAATTATGACTTTCTTTTTTTTGTTGTTGGAAAGGAGGAAAAACTGAACTGGCACTTAATGGAGCTGTTTATATGGCAACTCTATTTTCCTGGAACCTATAAATCTACGTTCCCTTCCAGGGTTCTTCCATTGTGTCCATTCTCTGTTCTATATTAAATATTAACTGAATTACCTTCAATGCTGTGTTTTACGTGAGTGTATAGCCCTGCCGCTTATTGCGGGCTACTGTATTAAAAAAGTGTTGAAGTCATTGAGTATGACCTCGATCAGAACAGTCTACAGCTGGCCCTCATCACAAGCCAGCTGGGAGTATTTGATTCAGACCCACTTTTCCATTTCAGATAGAAATTTCCCTTTTGAAAAGTCACAGGGGAAGAAAAGGGAGGGGATGGGAGGGAAGCTTGTCAGAAGTGCGGCTGATATGTCTGCAGCTAGTCTGAGGGGCCCAGAGACATGGATCCTCTCAGCCCAAAGTCTATTCTTTGATATGAAAAAGGTGAGTAGTGAGGGTGTTTGTGCTGGCTGAGCTCCAATGAAAGTCTGACCTGAATGGTGAGGGAGCAGGAGGTGCTGCGAGGGGGCAGTCCTCTGTCAGTAGCTGTCACCGTCAGAGTGTACTCAGCCCGCTCTGAGTGGCTGAGAGGGGATGATGAGCGCAGCTCCCCAGTGTTTGGGTTCAAAGAGAAACGCTCAGCCCTGGGACCTTGGAGAGAAAGAGAGTCCAGACTTTAACTGGATGTGATGTACATGGAGGAACAAAATACACAAACCTAGCAAGGCAGTTGTGGCATTTTGTCAGCATAAAAACATTTTCAGACATAAGTGATAGATGTTGCTTATTGACTCAACCATGGTGTCATATGTTTACAGTATTTTCACGCATGAATACCAGTAATAATCTATGTAGTACTTTTTCTAAACACAATTACAAAGTGCTTTGCACTAAAACAACACTAATATAGTGATAACACAAGACTGGAAAATGGATAAACAAACAAAAAAGCTCAACATAAATCCACAAACAACAACAAAAAAATCCTGCAATAATAAACTTATACTGTGGCCCTGGGTGGCAAATGGCCCTTCAAGGTGTTCTATATGCAGGCTCTCTTCATCCATTATCACACATCACTGAGTACCAATACTTTTTAAAAAATAGAAAATGTACTGCACCTACATACATTAAATAAATCCTTCAATAATTATTTTGCACAGATGAGTACTTTCTTAACTTCCTGCAAGTACTATACCTGACAAAGAGTAGAATATGGTTCCGTTTTCCCCTTCATCTGGGTCTTTGGCTTGCAGTGTGGCCAAGAAAACCCCAGATGACTGACCTTCTGTCACCTATGAGTTAAAAAAAAAGATGTCACAGACGTAATGGAACTTTAATTTTCTGCCTGCCTGTGTTTGTGGTCTTATGGCATCACCTGTATGATGAGACTTTTGCCCGACTGGCTATGGGTGAAAGAGGGGTGATTGTCATTGTCATCCAGGACAGTGATGAAGGCTGTGCCTGAGGCACTACGAGGGGGTGAACCTCCATCTTGGACCACCACCACCAGCTGGTAACTAGACTGCTGCTCTCTGTCCAGAGTGGTCCTTGTACTGATCTCACCTGGGGAGAGAAGGGGGGTGGATAAGATAGATTTTATGCGGAGGCAGTAGTCCAGGGCACTGGAATAACGATGAGAGACTCAAGAGCCAGCAGGCTTTGATCAATGACACACAAGTAATGGTCATGCACAGTGTGCAGATGTACGTGTGCATGTGCATGCACACAAATAGAGGAATTTTGGAAGGTTGGCAGATGCTGTAGAGGCTCATAACTCAGCCAGATACTAATCACAAATCAGACTCTCGAGTCTCCACCCACAGACTAACAGGCTCAGCAGGCCAATTAGAGCCCTGCAAGATGCTTAGTGCTACTGTCACCATCATCTGACTAATTTATGACAGTGGGGAAGAGGCAACTGTAGTCTCTCATCTTTTAAAGATGACTGGGTGAGTTAACTAAACACTGATAAAGTTTTTTTTTCCTGAAATAAAAAAATGATTTTTGTTTACACAAAATTTTTCTGATGGAATCATGACAGCTTGTTTTTCACACTGATGTGTATTCAATATTCAATTTAGCTTTTGTTCAATTTACAGAAAAAATAATAAATGCACAACTGTAAACAAAAACTGAGCCTTTTTTTATTTTTGGGTCAGGAATGCTCCAGTATCTTCTAAAGACCACATAATCTGGATGACATCCAAAATTCATCAAATAATAGCATTGCAGCCTTTCTTCTCTTCTTCTCTTGCTAGCCCTCCTGTCAACAGCAGCTTTATTAAGCATAACAGCTTTTTTTTCCCTCATACCTGCTCTGTTCTTTAGACATCTTTGCATAAATGTACAGATTGCTTTGGTTTCCTGATCAACAAAGCCTAGGCGATCACAATTTTAACACTCCGATCCAATAGACGGCTTCTGGTATTTATGTTCGTACATGACATTTTCTATTCACCTGTGTGGGAGTTTATCTGGAAGTGGCGATCAGTGTGCAGAAAGCGGTAGCTGAGGCGTCCGTTGGGGCCACTGTCTCGGTCTGAGGCTGACACGTGACCAAAGCCTGTTCCTGCAGGCAGGTTTTCTCTCACAGCCATAAAGACCCTCTCTTGTGTGAGCCGGGGAGAGTTGTCATTCTCATCAGTCACAGATATCCGCACTGTGGCACTGCCCGTTTTCTTCAACTGTCCATGACCTTGGCTGGCCAGCACTGTTAAAAGATACATGTCCTTAACTTCTCTATCCATGGCACTTTTCACAAACAGCCAGCCACTGTCTGCTGCAATGCCAAACCCTGCAGCATCTCCATCTGGACGCAAGTGATACGCCAGGGGGCTGAAATGACCTGAGCCAGGGGTTTCTCTGTTCAAAGCCCTGACCTGCAGGAAGCGTGTGTTTATTGGAGTCCCTTCTTTTAACTCCACACGGTAGGTGAGAGTATCAAACACAGGTCCCTGGTCATTCTCTGCTTGGACATGAACCACAAGCACAAAAGTGGCGCTAAGCTGGGGTACTCCACTATCCTTGGCAATCACCTGAAGGTCATAACGAGGGGCATTCTCATAGTTGAGGCTCCCTACCAATCGAATCTCACCACTGCTGCGTTCTATGCTGAAAGTCCTCTGAATTACACTTGGTGAGAAAAGATCAAAGGTAAGTTGTCCATTGACTCCAGAGTCTCTGTCCTCAGCTTGGACCCGATAAACCACTGTGCCCATTTCTGTATGCTCTGGCAGCAGCAAGGACTCAGAAGACGAGGGCAGAAAAACAGGTGGGTTATCATTGATGTCTGCAATGGTAATGTGGACACGGGTCTGGCCAAAGGCAGGGGGGTTGCCACTGCGGGCCTGCACCTCCAAATCAATAGCTGACTGCGCTTCATGATCCAGGGGCAGACTGGTCCTTAAGGCCCCAGTGTCAGGATCCACTGTAAAGTATCCTGCAGGGTCCCCAGAGCTGATGGTGTAGGAGATATCTCTAGAGGTGCCTAGAAAGGGAGAAAGATGACAAAAACCAGAGACACATCACTGTGGCTCAAGAGGCTGCGCTAAAAGCACTGAAGCAACTGTATACTCCAAAGATGTAATTTTTCAACTTTCATGACTGTAATAGAGTTCTAAAAACTCAGAAAATGGATATATAAACAAAGTTGTGAAATGAAATTTCTGATTGATGTTATTTCAGAGTTAGGTGTGTATAGTGGCCCAACGCCTATTTGTACAAGTGGTGCAGGGAGCAGAAATGAAACTCCTTTTAGTATGATCGAGTGTGACTGATAAATGGATATTGACCAGTTCAATATGGACTGTGGGACTCAAAATTGTATGTTTGAGTGTTTGAGAGTGAGTGAGTGAGTGAGTGAGTGAGTGAGTGAGTGACAAAGAAGAGAGAGCATGTGTTTGTACACCCCACCTGTCTTACTGCTTGCCTGGACAATGCCTACGACTGTCCCCCGCATGGCATCCTCTGATACCGTAAAATAGTACTGTGTCTGTTCAAACACGGGCGGTGCCACCAGCCCCGCCACCACACTAATGTTGACTCTGGCATTGACGAGAGCAACCAGACCACCACCATCCTGAGCAGAGATTTGAATGGGAATGACAGAGTTTGCCTTCCCATAGACAGACCGAGAGAGGGAGATCACACCTAAAAAAATAGTTGTAGACAAGCTGTTCAAACAGGCTATTTTTACATCACACAACATTGTAAACCATGCAACATAATAATGCAATGAAATTGCAGGAAGAAATTGCAGGATAAAAGTCTTCAGCTTACTAAGTAATTGAAATTATATAAATAAAGTTAAGTGTATATAGGAACTGGCAAAGTACTTGTGCCAACCTGTGTCTTTGTTGAGCGTAAAGTAAGGGGAGGCCCCTCCAGGTACTGTTTTGTATGTAATTCTTCCATTCTCGCCTGAGTCTGGGTCATAGGCTGTCACTCTGACAACAGATGTCCCAGGGGCGCTCTGCGTGCTCAAACTGACAGCATAGTTGACTGGGTAGAAGGCGGGTCTGTTATCATTAATGTCGACCAGATCTACCTTCACATAGGCGACTGAGCTCAGTCCACCCTGCAGAGGAAACAAAAAGCTCCTTTGTTATACCTTCACTTACATTAAATCATGAACAGAAGAAAACACACCTGAAAGCGGGATTTAGGCCACATTAATGGCACAAGTAGACCACATTAATGGTCAAAGTAAGTAAAAGTAAAAACCAGCAGTAAACCCTGTTAAAATTTCAATGTATAGCCGTAGCCTCTAAAATATAGTCCTAGCAGGTTTGTGCAGGGATACAGATTGATAGTTTCCCTTGGGAAAGAGCAATATGTCATGACCCGTGGAGGGTGAGAGGGCCCGCCGCAACTGAACAATCTGTTTCATAGGCTTTTCATTTGCAGAAAACACAGTGCAGGCTTTTCATTTGGACCAGGTGGCAAAAACGATGGAGGCGGCAGTCCAACTTGTTAAAATATTACTGCCTGACAATTGAGGCATTTCTCCGTCTGATTGCTTTAACATGGCTGCAGTAATTTTCTTTCATTTTAAACCTTTTATTTGTTAAGTATTATTTGGCATAAAGTGAACAGGATATACTCTTTTGCGTAAGCCTGCCATGGAGAGCCATTCAAGATTTTGTTTTTTACTTGGTTGCTCATATCAAAGTTTTTCTGCACAGTTGGCCATGTCTTTGGTCTCCTGTCTATGAGAAGCACGGCTGCTGTGTTTATGGGATTACTCTGTGGCTCGATGGATTCATATTAAGCATGATTTCAAAACGCTGTGGCTCACCCCATCCACTGCAGTAACAGTAAAGTCAAAGCTCGCCACCCCTTGATCTCTGTCTAGTGCAGCACTAGTGCAGATCTGGCCAGTCTCCTTGCCAATGGTGAACTGAGAGGGAACAGTGCTGGTAATGCCAGAGCCAAGGGAGTAGGTAACAGAGCCAAAAGAACCGCCGTCTGCATCCATCGCAGTCACCTACAAAGAAGAAAACATGCTATTGGTTAAACATTCCAACATTGTGCATTAAAATTAAAATTTATTAAGTTGGACGGAAAATATCCTACTGGATAAACTCAGCAGTTTCCATACTCATTAATAATACTACTCTAAAGCCACAGCAGATCAAATCTAAATTCTATTAGAGGGATGTAAGAGTGATGGCAATCCACAAACTGAAACAAGAGCACCATACCAGGTGGCTTTTGAAAGCATCTTTGGACCTGGTCTTTGTTGTTTATCTGAGTCTGAGCATGAGCCAAACAGGTCCTTTGGCAGAAAGGGGCTCTGAGGGAATGAAGGAGGGTGGCGGGAAGGAAGATGACTTCTACAGGCTCTGGGAGGGCTGCCAGCAGGGAAAACTGCCTGCTTCAGGAGTGGCGTCTGTCGGCAAAGGACAGTGACAGGGACGGCTGGGGAACAGTGGGATACCACACAGTATGCTTCAGTGCAGCGCATTATACCCTAATGTAATGTCCCACTTGCGGTCTGGTTTTAATAATGCCGCACATCTACAGAGGGCTGGAACCGCTGGAGCTATAAAAGTTGCTCACAAGCCATCAGCCGGGGAGCCGACTCAATTACTACAGAATCTCCCAAGACAGCAAAAGGCAAATAGACCAATCAGATTGGGCCCCTAGGTACCAGCAGTATAATTGTTTACAAGTGTTGGCTCTAGATCGCAGTTTGCAAGAGATTATAGTAGGGTTAAACCTCACAAGTTGATTAGAATTCTTCTTCCGTCCATCTTATATAAATGGATCTTTTTAGGAAAACACTAATTGGATGAGAGAGAGCGAAAAAAAGTTTGGTTTATGCTCTGGTGCTCCAACACTCAGCAGCAGGGAGCCTCCTCTGTGTAAGATGGAGTAGTCATCAGGAACATAGCCAAGAAAAATAAGGCAAGCCATGCTTATCATCAAAAGCTGACTTTTTTTTAAAGATGGCATTGGTATGAGTGTGAGTAGATGGAAATCATTCATTCAAGGCGATGAAGGTTTGGCTGCGGTAATTCAGGCTCCATCTCTTTCATGAGCAGATGGCAGACGGGGGACTCAGCAGAGAGCATGCCCCACACTCTTGACTGTAACTCCTAACAGAGGGTGAGTAGTGTGTAGGAGTGAGGGAGTTGTAAAGCTGGCAGAGACGCAAGCCAAAGAGAAGAATAATAAACCACATGAGGAAAGGGGAAACCAAGAGCAATACAAGAAAGCTACTCCATCTTTTAACGCGCAGAGGCTGCAGCTTACTGTAATATTTTATCATTTTGCAGCGGGACAAGTTATTTATAACAACCCCACAGCTTTATATGCTTGTTTTCTTCACAGTTGTGTGATGTGTCAGCTGGAGGGAAAGTTGAAGGAGTATTTTAGCAATACCTGCATCTTAAAAAAAAACTTTAAAAAGACAGCAGATACGCTCCAAACATCTCCAAACAGATCTGTAGGAAAATATTTTCCCCCTTGTGAATGACCCATTCGTGGCAGGCATTGAATATGCGTGCTATTTGAGGAGACTCTATGTTGCTTTCTGTTTTAGCCACAACCATCCATAAAAACTTTTTTTATAAAGTAATCCCACATACAGTTCATAAAAAAATCCAATGTAAAAAGTCTGCATTTTTATTATGATACAAAAACTTGACAAATGAAAGAAAAAAGATGAAGAAAGAAGGGAAGAGAAGGAAGAAAATTAAAGTTATTTTTGGTGGGGTGGGAGTTGGATCTCTTTCCACTCTATGAATCTATAATGATACACAGTAAAACTTATTGGTGTGTTCAAACTTAACACACAATTCACATTGAATTGAGGGTTCCCTGTGCGTTCGAAAACTTACAACTGGAGCAAGCACATTGGCACAATGTGTGCTACAGAGATATTAAGCTTTTCTGTTAAGAACAAATTCAGAAGAGAGAGGGGATTGAGTGATGTGTACGCCATGAAATTAATTTACATGAGGAGGATCCAGTGCTTTAATAGTTTCACTTCTCCCAGTGCTCCAATACTACACAAATGGGTGAGGACATTTGGAGCCATATGTGGTTTGAAAACCTGAGAACAATATGTTCCATGAGTTACGTGTACGGCTGTATTGCAGGGAATGTACTGTAAGATAATAAACCACACAATCACATTTGCATAAATCCTAACCACTGTAAGTAGAATGCCTGCAGCAATCAGTCTGTTTTGGAATCTGCAGAGACTGCAATTTCAATTCCACTCTCATTTCTAAGTTAATAGCAGCATATCAGTGTCATCTTGCTGGAACACAGAGTTGACTGTCCAGGAGATTATAATTTTTCAGCCACATATATGAAATAACATGAGGCCAGATGCAAATGAAAAACGAGCAGGACAATTAGGCAAACCCCAAACCATGAACCCTGAGAGACAAGGATAACCTAACAAAGTGTGGCTGAAAGTATAAATCAATAAAAAGCGAGTATTAATCTCAACAGATTCTAAACTAAACAAGATTCCCACAAAACCTTGTGTTCTGGATGTTACGTAATGCAATTCAGCATTAAAACAATCCATTATTTATCTCAATATACTGAAGAGAAACTTGTTCATTTCCCTGTCAAATGTTCTTCATTTTATTTTAAAGAAATAGTGTATAAGATTTAAGGGAATTTAATCTAGTGGTGAGAACTGCAGATTGCAACCAACTGAAACTTCCCACAGTTAAATTCTCTAAGTGTTTATTGTTCAGCAGGATTTAACCAGGAGCTGAATTATCCGCAGAGGTCCCTTCTTTTCCAAAACAAATAGACCAGGTGATTAAGACCTGTAAATGCAGGAGAGAATGCAATTTCACCCTACAAATAAGTATTCCTCCAATGCTATTTGGTATGTCAGAGATGGGCCACTAGCCCAGCCCGTGCTAATCTGTGCTAAGCTTTTTTCTTGGATAACTCAAAATCCAGCCGTTTAAGAAGTTTATACTGGGACCCCAGTTGTCTACAGAGGTCTTTTCCTCTCCAATACAAACAGACCCGGTGATTTTAACTGTTAAAAAACATAATGCATAATGCAGTTTAATGTTAAATAAATTAGTGGTTTTCCGATGCTCTTGTCACAGAGGAGCTGCTAACTACAGTGGCTGATGCGAAAATGCAAAAATGCGAACAGTCCTATCTAGAGCCAGTGTTTGATTTGTCTGTTCTGGGCTACTGTAACATAGTGGCACAACATGACGATCTCCATGGACATGGGCCCGCTTCCTAAACATCTCATTCTAAGGTAATGAAAACATAATGATTCTTATTTTCAGGTGATTATACACCAAGGAAAACATACATATTACATTATATTCCATTCCTGTCAATATATCCCCAAAATCCTACATGTTGGACCTTTAAAATTTTTTGTTACCAGTCTCAATATGCACTCAAACTATCTCCTCTACATGGGTATACTGTAGATTTTGTGGAAAAGGAAACATTTATAGCCAAGATAGTCATTTAAAGATGCGCCAGTCAGAAGTAGGAATTCTCTGCCCTGCATGAGGGAAAAAAATACCACTCACCACTTTGTCGAATCCATCTTGACATGGATACAAGGGGCCTCTCTTTCTGTTTCCCACTGACTTTTTACTTTCTCTACTGCAATGTATAGGTATTACGCAAAGTCTCTATTTCTATTGGATTAAAAGTTCAAAAGCAGGAGTAATCTTAGATCATCAGCACTATTCTCCTTACACTTCATGTGTGTGAGTGAGGCATGATGGGATCTGTCTTATCAGCAGGGGAAAGGCAACGTTTGGCCGAGTCCTTAGTAAAACAAGCTGGGGGAATCCAAAGATAACTGGGGCACTTGTGGTTCTCCCATCAGATTCCAGAAGCCTTCCAGAGGAGACTTTCTGACTGACTGACTGTCCAATCAAGAGAACAGGATTCACAGGAGAGAACATGCCTTTGTATGTTTATGTATAATATGTTCAAATGGAATAATAATCCTGAGGCTTTTGGATGCTCCAAAGTGTTTTGGCCCATGTCTTCACTCTGTGGTCTGAGAGAGTGCCAGGCCTGGAAAAGAACAAGCCCTGGATTTAGGTGCTTTCTATTTTTAGAGTTGAATTTCCCAAAAGGCCAATTACAATTCTCATACATGATTGTCCACTGTGGCTTTCTAGTCCTTGTTCTTATGTTTTTGTGGATAACAAAAGCACATGTACGTCAGCGGGACCTTACTTGCCCAAGCTACTGCCCCTCTATCTGTCTTCATTGTGCAGCCATGCAAAAAATCTCCACTGTGGAAAGACCTAGTGCAAAAACCTGTGAGTAAATGAATGATGTAGAGCCGAAACCATTGAGGCCAACACGGGGTGAAATGAAGGCGATGTAGTTTTTAATCATGCTCCCCGTATTTTTGAGTGCCCAGTCAAACAAATCTGTCTCACGTAGTCCTTAGTGAAACCAGCCAATCAGGACTGCACCTCTGCCAATCCAAATAGGCCACAAATGACGGAGTGCACATGTAAATGTTTGCCAACTGGGAAATTATCACACACATCAATCAAACTCTGCATGCACACGTCCTTTGAGTGTACCTTAGATGGGTAAGCAAAGACACCGACGTACAAACACTGGGGATAAAGTCATCACTCATTACAGTGTTGTGATGCGTGTAGAGCAGAAGAGCAAGACCATTTTCATTTTGCACTCTGATTACACCAAAATTGTCCTTGTATCCACCAGGAAGTCTCTGCAAACAAACTAAGCTCAGATAAGTATGAAGCAGTGGCTACTGTGACTTTGGCCCAAATTTAACTTGGCAACTTTGTAGCAGAAACAAATGTTCAGAAAATACTGGAAGACATTTCTAAATGTGTTAAAACTCAAATTTATGATTGCGTCTACTTTAATCTCAGTTTGGGAGTGCTGTTACTTAAAGCACCATATGTGACAAATTGGCCATGCAACTGAGATGGGTTTAAAGAAATGCTTAAATTACAGAGATCGATGTCAATGTTAAAT